CTGGCCACTAAACATCCAGAGGTGCGACACACTATGGCAGTGAAATGGGAACAGGAGATCAGACGGCTTGCGCTGATGTGCAGACATTTGAGTGCATTCACCGGTATCTGCGATGAGGACCGGATGTGCCTCTTGAAGGCCGGTTACCGCGAGATAATAGCTTTGCGTTCACTCATTGCTTATAATAATGATCATCGATACTGGGCTGTAGTTTTGGTATGGTTTATAGATTAGTTGCAATTGAATACAACTATAATTAAATATTAATTAATGTCTTATTAGGATTCAAACAATACAACTATCCTTAAGATGGAAACATTTAAAATGATTGACGAAAATCTGTTTGAAATTCATAAGCAGTTCTTCACAAAATTTGGCGGCGAATGGGATTTTGATACAATTATTTTAGACCTGGTCAGTGATTATGATGATAACATATTTTATTAACATAGTTGATTGACGAAAATCTGTTTGAAATTCATAAGCAGTTCTTCACAAAATTTGGCGGCGAATGGGATTTTGATACAATTATTTTAGACCTGGTCAGTGATTATGATGATAACATATTTTATTAACATAGATGTGAATAATAATTTGTGAAATGCTTATGTAGTTGACAGCCATCGCACTGTTTACACCGCATCGGCCCGACTGTAATATTAGGCACAAACATGTTGTTAAGTGAGTTTTCAAACATTAAATGACATTGTTAACTTTAAAATCAAGTAAATTAATGAATCTTTGTATTGATAGACTTCAACAGCAAATGTATATCCATTTACTTCGACGATATCTAAGACTCAAATATTCCGATTCGGAATTGAATGCAAAGTTTGCGACATTAATGACATGTTTGAATGAACTGAAATATTTTTCTGGTTTTAGGAAGACTTTCCTTCAAAATCAAGGCAATAACTCATCTTTTATAAGTATACTCTATGATATTTACCCTGATAATTATAAATTAGATGTTTTACTGTTAAATTAAACTATTCTATAATATAAATATACAGATACAGTATACTGTATACAGTATTGTATCTTTGTGAATCTTTGGTTATCAGTCTATATTATGCAAATTGTTAAAGTATTAATTGTAAGTTATTCAAGTTATTACATTATATTACTGTATATTCAAATAAAGTTAATTAAAATTTTCTATAAAAAATAGTACATAATTTGCTAATTAGTTAAATTAAATGATTGTAAACAAGAATATTTTTGAAAGCCTTTTGAAATTCTTAATAAATTTGTTATTAGTAATATAACTTATTTAAATATAATATAGCCTGGTGTTTAAATTTTTTTTATTAAAATAACCGACCAGTCTAAAACTAATAATAATATTAATATAACTTAAATATTTAATTTAAAAATAATTTTTATATATTATAACAAGCCTTATTCTACTGTAAATAGTAATTCAAATGAAATCAAAATTTTATGGTGTATGTCACTTGTCTCGGAATTAGTTATAAATAACTATAAAATAATTTTTATAATATAAATATTAATACATACCATTTATACACAACTGAAATTTATATAGCCGGTATTAAAAATTAAAGCTTTTTTAGCTAATTAAAATTTTTAAATAATAAAAATTAATATACAGTAATGAATATAATTTACAGATTAAACATAATCTATCTCTCCGAGATTTACGAATAATTAAATATTTCAATGAGTAGAATAGTGTTAATTTATTTATTATAATTTATATACAATGGAAATTAATTCTCTAATGAACCACGAGCAGAATATATTTGTAAGGATTTTACATATTCTAAATTTATAAAACTATTAACTTTTAATTTAAAATTATTAATATTATTAATTAAAAGAAACTTATATTTTAGCATTTTATTGATTCTTATTATATGTATTTACTAAAATACTTAGGTAATAACTGCCAAACATTCTAGCATAGATGATTGATTGTATTTTAAAAATAAATGAAATTTATTTAAAACATGCATAATCAACATGAAAATAGATAATAAATTTAACAAAAAATTTTAAAGTATTAATTGTATGATATCTATGAAAAGTATTAATAAAGTGTTTGACAAAAGGGTGCGTAGTCGTTTATTTAGTTTTAAAAATCGTAGAATTGAGCTAGAACAAAATAAAATTTTTTGCAACTATTGTTTTTTGGCACCAATCTATCGGTATGCCCAATTTTATCCAGACATAAGGGGAACGGTAGATATGCCTGTCCATCAATAACTCAAAAACTATAAGA